ATCGACGGTTATCGCCAAGTCATTCGGGTGTAACGCTGTAACCCGCGCGCATTTAACCGTGTAACCGTAACTTCTAGTTACCATCGAGTTACCGTCGACGTCGTGATCCTAAAACCCTAGAATCACCCAGAGATTCGGTCCCTAAATGCCCGTATCTCAACACAAATACTCCTCAATCTCAAGAAAAATCAAGACCAAAGACTTCTTAATCCTAATCAAAGATTAAAACCAAATTTTTTAATCTGAAAACTCCCCCCGGCACTAGATATCCTCGGCAACTCCTATCTCCCCCAAGCACTTGGAGAACTTCCTCGGTGTCAACGCCTTGATCAAAATGTCCGCCTTCATGTCCTCCGTCTTGCAATATGCGAATTCGACCTCCTTCCGCGCCACCCTCTTCCGCGCAAAGTGACGAATCATGTCAATGTGCTTCGATCGCTGTGAGGCAATCGGATGCTTGAGGAGCGGTGTTGCCCCTTGGTTGTCGCAATAAATCTTGACCGCGCCGAGGTGCAACCCAAGATCTCCCCCGAGTTTGCGGAACCACAACGCCTCCTTCACGACTTGTCCCGCGCATATATTCTCCGACTCCACCATCGGATCTGCCCCGTCGATTGAAGACGGCTCGACCAAGTCACCGCTCCCATGTACATCAAGAAGACGTTGTAGAACGCCTTGTGTCAACTTCCCCCGCGTAGTCGGCGTCACAAAGCGCCTCTAGGACCTCGCCAACCCCCTCAAAGGTTATTCCCGCTTCGCGGCCCCCACCAAGTAGCGCACCACCCTAAGCACCACCGCCCAATGTGCCTCCGTCGGCCCGACTGTGTAGCGCGCCAATGCGCCCACGGCTTGAGCAATGTCGGGCCGTGAGCACACGCTCAAGTAGAGCAAACTCCCGACGAGCTCGCAATATGTAAATTTCGCCGTCAAGCGGCTTCCCTTCTCGCATTCATTTCGCCCCCGCACCGAGGGGAACCGAGCGCGCCCGTGCGCCCGCCAACCCGTGCCGTCCGAGCAACTCACCCATTATAGCTTCTGCTGCGTCAGCTTTAGAGTGTGCCCCTCCCGATCGCGCGTCAACCCCATCCCGAGGAAGTACGTCGCCTCCCTCAAGTCGTGCGCGTCGAACTTCTCCGCCAAGTGTGCCTTCACCTTTGCTATCCGCTTTGCTCTCCGGGCCGCGACGAGGATGTCGTCCACCTACACGAACAGGTAAACCTGTTCCCCGTTCACCACTTCCGAGAAGAGGGCCGCGTCCGCAAAGGACGTGTTGGAATTCGGTGATTATGGTCAGCCGAATCACGGTGATTAGGGTTCGGACCGAATTAGGGTTTCGACTTGGTGAACGCCGACGTGCGTGCAGGGAGGTTAGGCGGTTGAGAGGACCGTCAGTGTAAGCCGTAGATATGTAATCGTACGGCACAATTAGAGTGTAAGTGTGATCGAAGCTAGTGAACCTAGTAGAGTGTGACTCAGGTTTGTAAGCCTAGTAGGCTAGTGAGCCTAGTGGAAGGAGAGATCCGTGAGACAATAGTAAGGAGAAACACTACTGTCATATATCATTCTAAGAGAAGTTTGTGGAGAGAAGAAAGCCGCGTGAGGCGCTCCTTGTGTTCCTTTGAGGATGCACGGCTGCCATCAATGAGTGATGAGCATGAGTGCCCGGCACTACGATAAGACCCGATGACGAGTGAAACCTACACAAATCTAGCCCAATTTCAACAGGGCGCCACGAATACGAAGTTCTCGAGCTCATCCTTTAAGCGCGTGTGCCACGCACGCGACGCTTAGCGCAATCCGTACAAGGTGCGCTTGAGGTGGCAAACCATGTCCGGTTCGCCTTGCTCGTACCTCTGCGGATGTTGCATGTAAATCTTCTCCTCGAGCTCACCGTTAAGAAACGCCCTCTTAACTTCCAATTGGCGCAACTTCAAGTCGCGGTCCGCGACCACCGCTAGGAGCGCCCGCAAGATGGTGTGCTTGCTCACGGCGCACCACGTCCCTAGGGAGTGAGGGCGCAAGCATTCGATTATAGGCCTCCAAAACGGTGAAAATTGAATTTGTGCGCCAAGGTCGACCAATGGTTATCTCTTGTCAATGAAGGTATCT